GCGGGAACTTGTGGGACCAGGGGTGAGAGACCGTAGCAGGGGACAGGGACTTTTAGTTTGGGCCCACTGTAAGGACTTTGGCTTCATCTTGCAGTATGGGGATAGAACCCAGGGAACTACATAGCAAGACCTTGTCTCTATAAAAAAAAAAAAGAAAAAAGAATCAAGCTCACTTCACAGCACAATGCCTAGGACCACCCCCCCCCAACCACTCCTCCCCCAAAAGCTTTGCTAACTGGTTGTGGTGGTGTGTACCTGTGATCCCTTGTGACAAAGGGAGAGAGCAAGGAACATTAGGTAGCTAATGGATGGTAATTAGGAGGGGGAATTAGGAATATTACCATCCTCGGAATATTGCATTAGGAATATTGCTATTCAAGAGGCCAAGAAAGGAGGATCTCTTGAGTTCAGGAGTCCATACAAACGTGGGAAACAAAGCAAGATTCTGTCTTGAAAAAAAAAAAAAAAAAAAGCTTTGCAGAATCTGTGACTTTTTGAAGGCTTTTGATAGATTTTGCCCTTGAAAATGTTTGTACCAATACACATGCCCTCAGTGGTGGACTTGTAAAATTAAATGTGTAATCAGGGTTTCCTTTTTATGCAAACCAATAGACAGCGCTCAGAGAGACCTGTCCTGTGCTGACCTGATCCTCCGGATAGCTACCTAATGTTCCTTGCTCTCTCCCTTTGTCACAAGGTTAGATGGCTAAGGGCACCTAGCTCCCTGTCAATTGTTTTTTTCTCAAACTTGTTTTTGCCCTTTGTGTTCACTCCTTCAATTACATACTAACAGTCGTGTAAATTAATAAAATATGATGAGCACTAAAAGAAAGTTATTTCTGCTGAAAATATGGTAAATACCTAATTTTAAATAATTATATAAATTGATGAAATTTGAGTGCCAAAGAAAGAGTCTTCATTTCTGTGGAAACTAGGGAAATGCTTTGGAAAGACTCAACAAAGATAAGTTGCTGAAAAATATTGTTGAATCAAATTTAGGAAAGATGAATATCTAAGGACAGGAGGGACATGGACGTCCAGGGTGTATCTGCCCCAAGATTGCATCACGAGATCTGGGGTGCTTTGACTTCTTGTTCGGCTTTCAGAGAAACCAAACTGATGATCTTAGTGCCTGTTGTGGGTGTGTAGGTTCCGTGGGATGCCAATCAGTGGCCCATTCTCAAAGAAAAGGACACGTCCCTGCACCGACGAATGTTCTTATGTGTGTTAAGTTGATCTCTCTGTCTCCTCTCTTTCTCTCTCCCTTACCTGCCCAGTATTGAAGCCAGGTTCTAGCACATGCCAGATGCATGCTTTATCTCTGAGCTGTGCCTTCAGCCCCATGGATACATTTCTCTGAGTCAAAGTTTGTTCAGTCTAGAAGACCATGTGGGCCCTTCCATGACCTCATGTCCCCCTCTCCAGTCTCCTCCTGGGTCCTCCCACTGAGCCACACAGGCCTTGCCACTTGTGTCACGCAGTAGGCAAGCTCCAGCTCTAGGGCTTTTGCATTCTTTTTCCCCCTGCCAGAATTACCATCCTCGGATACCTGTTTTTGTTTTTTCGAGACAGAGTCTCACTGTGTAGCCCAGACTGGCCTTGAACTCTCAGCAATCTTCCTGCCTCAGCCTCCCAACGGCTGAGATTACAGACATGCACCACCATGCCCAGCTTTCCCAGACATCTTGTTTCCTGAAGTCCTTCATTCCTCTGAGACTCCCTAGCTACCTTACATATATTAGCAAACTCCCATCCCCAACTTTCCTTATGCTTCTTTTTCTGCACAGCATTTGTCATCATCTGACCTGTTTCCTTTTGTATCTGATATTCCCATGAGAACACAAGCTAGAATACAGGTAGTTTTTTTTTATTTATTTTTATTTATTTACTGCTCACTATGTAGTTCAGGCTGGCCTTGAACTCATTATGTAGCCCTTGCTAGCCTCTACACCAGTCTAGAATAGTGATGGTTTTATGCCTGACTGTTAGCCCCAGGCCTAAAGTAGTTCCTGGCACATAACACAATAGACACCCAAATAAGTATTCATTGAAAGAATGAGGTTAGCTGGGCGTGATGGCACATGCCTATGATCCCAGCACTCAAGAGGCTGAGACAGGAGGATTGCCATGAGTTTAAGGCCAGTCTGAACTACATAGCGAGACCCTGTCTCAATTAAAACGAAAAAGGCGGGATGACTATCATATATGAATGTGTTAAATGTGTGTTCAAGATTCAGTAACTACATTTCTGCACAAATATGTAAGAAAGAAAGTTGATTTGGCTGGAAAGTTTTTTAGCTTCCTCCAGAGATAAGAAAAGATCACGCTGACCTTTACATAGGGCTTTGAACCAGTCCAAAGTGCAGTCCTTGTGACTTCTGCTAGTGATGGCACAACTGGCTCTGGGGTTGTACATGCTTGTGCTGTGTATGCTTATAAATGTCCAAGGGGATTAGACCTCTCCAGAATTGCTACAGAGAGATGCCTTTGGGACCCCATAATCCTAATAACTCCTTTGAAGTAAAAGTCCTTGGCTGATGATCTTTTTGGTTGGAGTGGGTCAAATGGAGGTAACCTCCACCTAAAGGTGTCCTTGGGGGGTTTTGGATTCACTGCCACCTTGATGTGGCTAAGAGATCAACCATGCTTAGCCTGCTCCTGGGTTCTTATCAAAACTGAACACCTGACAAATTGTGTGATAACACATACCCATCAAATCTGTGACTGATTCTCTTATTTGGGGTGGGTTAACTAAGATTCAACAACTAGCCATGTGGGTGCATACCTGTAATCCTAGCATTGAGGGAAGCTGAGGCAGGAGGACTGCCAGTTTGAACCCTGCCTGGGCAACTTTGGTGACTTAGTCAGACCCTGCCTTAAAAAGGGGGTGGGATGGGCATGTAGCTCAGTGCAAAGGTCCTGGGTTCAGTGTTCATTCTCCAGACACACACACACACACACACACACACACACACACACACACACAAGCCATGTGGAAGGGCCCAACCTGCGTCTCCTATCAGAAACGGTACACTCCAGTACCTTGACCTGCCTCAGGGGCATTGCCAGTCTGTGGAAGCTCTCCTTTGGAGGAAGTTTATTCACCGTCTCAAAGTGCAAAGCAAAGCTACCAGCTCAATGAGGTTCTCAATCCACAGAGGTTCCCCTACATGCCAGACCCTGCTTCACCAATGTTTGGCTGAGCTCAGCCTGTGGTTACATATGCCAGCCTGGGCTACATAGAGTTCAAGCCTAGCCTGGACTACATAGCAAATCTTGTCTCAGCCACAACCCCCACCACCCACACCCAAAAAAAAAAAAAAAAAAAAAAGGCAACTAGGTCACGAGGGCTCCGCCCTCATGATTGGATGGATTTCAGGAGTGGTTTTATAAAAGCAGCTTCTCTCATGTTCATGTTTTCTCACCCTCTCTTGCCATGTGGTACCCTTTGCCATGATAGGACACAGCAGGAACCCCTCATCAGATGCAGGCCCTGCAAACTCGGACATCCTGACTCCAGAGCTGTGAAAAATAAATTAATTTCCCTTATAAATTACCCTTTCTGTAGTACTCTCTCTTTATTGTGTTATTTTTCCTGTTCTTTTATTTTTTATTTTTAGCATTCTCTTATTACAGCAGAAAACAAATGAAGACAACATCCATTGCTTTTTCCTGGTGCATATATGTTAGTGTCTTTGTTTTCTATTACTGTAACAGAATAGCTGAGACTGTATAATTTATAAACAAAAGAGAGTCATTTTGGCTTATGGTTTTGGAGGTCCAAGATCTTGAGATCAGCATCTGGTCAGCACAAAAAGGAAAGGCAGTGGGCCTGAGCAGTGTGTGAGACTAAGGGGAGGTGCTCCCTTGCTGCTGTAGAATAGTCTAATCTACTCTTGAAAACTCCATTCCTGTGAGAACTAATCCAGGGGTCAGGTGGTCTCTCTCCTCCTTGCCTGTCCTCACCTCTCCTTGCCTTACCTCCCCTTGCCTCTCCTTGCCTCTGTCTCTCCGTCTCATCTCTATCTCTTGTCTCTCCTGCTTTCTCCATCTCTGTACGGAAGATCAAAACCGGGGCCTTTGCACTGAGCTACATCCCCAGCCCTTTAATTTTTTTTAAATTTTGAGACTGTATCTTGATAAATTGCCTAGGCTAGGCTTGAACTTGTGATCCTCCTACCTCAGCCTGCCAAAACGTTGGGATCACAGGCATATGCCACCATGCCCATATTAATCCAGTCTCTTGAGATAGATAGTAATCCATTCATAAGAACAGTGCCCCATGACCTAATAAAAAGCCTATTTCCCAATGCCTCCAAAGTGGGAATCAAAACTTAAATCATGGGGACAAACTGTATCCAAACCACTTCAGTAAGGCACTGTAGTAACTGAATGACTTCTCAGAAAGGGATTGCTTCCTCTTGGCCACTCTCTGAGTACTAATCAGGAAGAAAAGGTGAGTTGGCAAACTGGGCACTCTGGAGAACCAATGGTGTGGTTCCAGTTCAAGTTCAAACTGGCCTGAAGGCCAAGTGTGGTGGTGTGTGACTGTAATCCTAGTGCTTGGGAGGCTGAGGCAGGAGGATCCTTGCAAGTTTGAGGCCATCTTGGGCTACAAAGTGAGCTTGAGACCAGCCTGAACTGCATAGTGAGACCCTGTGTCAAAAAGACAAAAAACAAAACAAACAAAAAAGTGGCCTGAAGAATCAAGAGACCAATGATGTAGTTCTAGACCAAAGGCTGGCAGGGTCAAGACTCAGGAAGAGCAGATGTTTCAGTCTGAGTCTGAAAGCAGGAAAAAGTGTGGCCTCAGACTCATGCTAACCCTCTGGCCAGGTTGAAGACAGGTAAGAATTTGGATTTAGATTTAGATTGTCTGTCTGTCCCTCCCTCCCCCCTGGAGATTGTATCCAGACTCCTGTGCATTCTAGGCAAGCACTCTACCACTGAGCTACATCTCTTCTTATTTTATTTTGAGAAAGTGACTCATTAAGTTGCCTACGGTGGCCTCAAATTTGTGATCTTCCAGCCTCCTGAGTAGTTGGAATTACAGGGATGTGCCACCCACAACGTGTGGCAGGGATCTCTCTTAATTGAGGGAGAGTCAGGCCTTTTGGTTTATACAGGCCTTTTTTTTTTTTTTTTTTTTTGGATGAGGCCCAACCACATTAGGGAAAACTTCCTCAGGTACCAATATAAATGTTAACAAAAACACTCTCAAAAATATCCAGAGGAGCTCTCATGGCACAATTGGTTGGTGTGTGGTATTTATATAACGAAAATACCTGGATTGTTTGACCAAGTATCTGGACATACTGTGATATCAAATTGACACTTAAAATTAGCCATCATAGTTGCTTACTTCTGGTGGTCATTTTAGTGGTTGTGAACTACCTCATTGTGGTTTACTGTCCATTTCTCTAACCAATAATGATAATTGCTTATTAGCCATTTGTATATCTTCTTTGGTGAAAGGTCCAGTGATTTTTTTTTTTTACCCATTTAAAAATTTTATTTGTCCTTTTGTTGAGCCTGATATGTTTTTTCTTGTGAGCTCATGTCTACTGATGCTTTTTATGTGGGAAATTTGGGAACTTGGCTAAGGGAATATTTCTTCTGGGAGGATTTATATTTAAATCTGCCAGGAATCCAGAGCTATTACAAATACAGGTCCACTTCAAATTGAAATTTCTAGGCCAGATAATTTCCTGCCCTTAATTTTTCTGTGCCTTTGATGAGCTTATTTTCTAAACAACAACAAAAATAAAATGCATGGTCAGAATGGAAGTATTTACAAGGATGAAGGGCTAGAGTATTTGAAGTTTGGCTGCCTGAATATAGGGAAATCCAGACTGAATATAGTTCCAGGTCCACTTTGATGTCAGGTAACGGGCACTATCACTGGTTATATGTCAGTTTGAACGGATTAAGAAATGCCTAGAAGCACCATAAAGCACAGTTCTGGGTGTGTCTGTGGATCACTGACAAACTGAGGGAAGACCCAGCTGGATGTGGGTGACACCAACCAATAGGCTGCTAGCCTCGATGGAGTTGAAAGGGAAAGAAGCAAGTGTCTCCGTTTTGGAAGAGCTCCAGTCTTCACTATTGCCTGTGGACGTTTGTCTTCAGTTTCTCCAGCTTTCCAATGCAGACTGACTTGGACCAGTGACTGTGCAGGGAGTTCCAGGCCTTCGACCCTAGGACTAGTGCTTCATCCGTGATCTCTCCTGCCCCGAGGCTTCCATCTTCTTTTGCTGAGCAGCTGCTGGATCCTCTGGATTTCCAGTACACAGCCATTGTGGAGTCTTCACTCCTGATCCTATGGTTGGCCATTGTGGAGTCTTCTGCCTCGGATCCCATAAGCCTACCTAATAAATCCCCTTGGTCAATGGGCTCCATCTCTAGCGGCCAACAGTACCAGAAATTGGCATCTGGCCTGCAGATGGGGCTTTCTGCATGGGGGATTGAGGGCAGTCTTCTCTGAAGGCACAGTAGGGTTGACTGGAGCCCGGGTGAGAAGCCCGGACTCTTGTGTTTAAGACCAGGAGAGCCAGGGTGGCCAGAGCAGGAAGGGTGGGCCTTCTCTCAAGGGTGTGCTGCGCGGCCCCCACTCAGGCCCCTCCCCCACGCGGTGGGCGGTGGGCGGGGCCCGGCACCGGAAGTCGTTATTGGAGGCTGGGCGCGTGGGACGAACCGAACGGGACCTCGCTGAGGGCGCAGGTGAGGGCCCGAGGACGGAGGGCTCGTGGGCTCCTGGGCGCGGGGTGGCGTGTTATTGCGACGGACATAGTGGGCGGGACCCTGAGCAGAGCGGGTGGTTAGGGGAAAGGCACTTTTCTGTCAGGTGTGAAGAGAATGGGGTTTGCCTTTAGGGGCTTCGCCTGCAGTCTGCCCTGGCCCGCGCTCCCGCGCCGCAGGTTTGAGAGGAAGGTGGGCCCTGCCCTGTGGAACCTCACCTTCTCGGGTAAGTGTGTCTGCCGCGCCCCAGGAAATGTGGAAGTCTCTGAGGGGAGGGCCTCAAATCTGTAAAAGTGATGGTGAGGGTGTGGGAAGGGTGGAGAAAGAAGATTCTAGAAGGCCTGTGTCTGGTGGGTGTTACACATCTCTCAGGAAAAAATACAGCGAATATTTAAATTAAAGAAAAAAAAAAAAACAATAAAAGCTGTGCGTGGTGGCCTATGCCTGTAATCCCAGCTCGGGAGGCTGAAGAGGGAGAATCTCCGTGAGTTTGAGGCCAGCCTGGGCCACATAGCAAGACCCTGCCTCAAAAAGACAAAACCACAAAAATGGAGAAGAAAATGCAGTGCAAGGCACACTGCCATGAATCCTCCCCAGATACTGCCGTTGGCTTCAGGTACGCTTATCCCATTGCCCTGCCACTTTCTGAAGCAGTTGTGGCCAGTTCTGAAGCAGTCTTGCCCGTTTCTAAAGCAGTGCCTTTCGTTACACTAGTGTGGCTGCCCTCATGGCTTGAGTCGATTCCAAATGTGCAGCTTCCATATTTGTTTTGACTTTGGGAAAGAGCCAGAAGTCACAGGGTTCCAGATCCAGTGTTTGGAAAATTTGGTATGTATTTACACTGCCTCAGCCTCCCGAGTGCTGGGATTACAGGCCTGTGCCACCGTGCCCCGTGTATCCCATTGTTCTTGGCGGTACTTTTTTTTTTTTTTTTTTTTTTTTTACCAAAATAAAGCCTTTAAGCATTCACTGTATTTTTTTATCACCCCTTCCTTGTACCAGTTAGGCAAACTGATTGTCTTGGACTCTTGCATGGGCCTACAGAGATGTAAGGGAAGAGTCTAGGCTCACTAAAAAAAAGAAAAGAATTTTATCAATGAAAGGGAGAGCTCTGTAGCCTTGAGAAGGGAAGCATAGCCAGGCCTTATAGCATAAAAGAAGGTAGGTTAATTTAAAAATAACTATAAAATTGATTTAGGAGTTGTGTGTTATTTTCTTCATATGCACAGCCTGATTTGTTTGTAGCTGCTACTGTACTGCAGACAGGTATTCAAAAGTTGAGAATAGGCTTACTTTTTAGTTAAGAAAGATTCTTTGTCAAGAGTGGTGGCACATGCCTGTAGTCCCAGCTGCTAGGGAGGCAAAAGCAAGAAGACTGTAAGCTCAATGGCAATCTAGGAATTTAGAGAGACCCTGGTCTCAAAAATAAAATAATAGGGGCCCAGAAAATAGCTCAGTGGTAGAGCTCATGTTTAGCAAGCCTAAGTCCCTGGATTGGATCCTAAGCATAAAGGAAAAAAAAAAAAAGGTTCTTCGGAGATCTGGTCATAATCAGAGGAGACCCTTAGATTGGAAGTCTTGAAATTTGTAGGTTTCGGGCTGGAGATATAGCTCAGTGGCATAAGCACCTGCCTGGCAAGCACAAGGTCATAAGTTCGATCCCCAGTACTACAAAAAAAAAAAAAAAAAAAAGAAATTTATAGGTTTTAAAGAAATTTTGAAGAGGCCTTACAAGCCTTGGATTTGGGAAGTTGAGGTGGAGAAGAGACTAATCCCTAGTTACCTCTGGGAGAGAAGATGTTACTTAAATGGAACCTGGGAGACCCAGCAAATATTATGGACTCAAAGTAAATGGCTTTGTACCCTAGAGACTTCTCTCCTGTTGGAGTTTAGAAGAAGAGTTTTATGGGAAGGACTTGGATATAGATTCACAAAGGCAATGAAAGAGATTAAGCTGATGAGTTTAATGTATAGGCTGGGGAAAAAGTAGGACTCTGGTATAGGAGGGACAAAACACCCATAAATATTTGTTGACAAGTTAACTATAAACATTTTTTTCTTTTTCTTTTCTTTTCTTTTGGTACTAGGAATCAAACTCAGGACCTTGCACTTGCCAAGCAGGCGCTCTGCCACTAAACTATATTATATACCTGGCCCTTATTTATTAACCAAAATCACCCCCATATATAAAATTACTTTCCTGTATAACAGGTGGTTAATTTATAGAACTCATTTTTTGAGAGGCTATTTGGGTAGAAAATGTAAGTTTGTGAGGAAATTGGAGGCGGGCTTGTGTCTCTATGAGATTATAATGGAAGGTGTTTAGAATTTTCCAGGCTCAAATACCAGCTTTTAAAATGAATATGTTGGGGGCTGGAGATTTAGCTCAGTGGCACAGCGCCTGCCTGGCAAGCGCAAGGTCGTGAGTTCGATTCCTGGTCCCGGAAGAAAAAACCAAAAAAACCAAAAAAAAACCCTAAAATGAATATGTTATAGAAGGCTGGTATATCACTGGCAAAGTAACTGTTTTTTATGCTTTGTGAGTTTGTCCTTCTTGAATGAAAAGGAAAATACTTGGGAATATAATTTTTTTAAATTGCTGTAGGTACTTAACCAGAACAGGTTCAACACCTGGTCTAGAGATTTTCCATGGATCCTGTCCGCCCACCATTCAGGGGCTCTGCTCCTGTCCACCCATCTCAGTGTGTACGGATGCCAGGCTGTTGGCCACAAGCTCCCAGACCTTTGAACCTCGCTCTGGGAAGAGCAGCACCTGTAGGCAGAGGCCATGTGTTTGGAAAGCCGGAGGTACCCAGCACACAGAATCAGCCAGCACAAAGGGTAAGAGCACATCTGGTTGCACAAGAGTATCATACAGCTTACTTTCTGATCAGAGAAAGTAATGGATTTCAAAATGCTTAAGAATCTAGGAAGCCCTGTACAAAATCAAGGCATTTTTTGGTTTGTTTTCAACAAATAATTGTTTCTAACAAATAATTGTTTCTTACCGACATACAGTTCAAATCCTAAAATTGTGAGTCTAGAAAAGTACTTCATAAAACACTAGATGGATGTGGATAAGCACTTTAGGTCAGTCCTCTAGTTCAGTTTGTCCATCTGTACATCTATTCATCCATCCATAATTGAATGCTTTCTGTGGTATGGCCTGTTGTTTTTGAGTGTTCAGGTTTTCACCATGTTTAGACTTCACCATGATATTGGCAGTAGAGCCTACATTTTTTTTTTTTTTTTTTTTGGTTTTTCTCCG